GTCCATTCACGTCACGTGATGCTGAATTCGGTATATTTGGAGCAAGCGAAACGGCCGCGAGCGCATCTTGAGCGTGGTATGTTGCCATGTTCTTACATGACACGCGTGTCATGATTATCATGTTTGGTCCAGTCATATACTTTCGTCATCAATTCACGTCACGTAGCGCCAAATTCGGTATATGTTTAGCTAGGAAAATGGCCGCAAGTGCATTTTGAAGGAAGGGCGCAATATACTCCGACGTGATGGACGCCAGCGCACGCGGAGCGCCGCGACGCTACGCTAGCAAAACACGAGCACGCCAGGCGCGACCGGCGCGACGAGCGTCCGTAGGCGCGGCCCGGTAGCAACCTGCGCGAAATGCGACATGCTGCATTTGGCGCCGATGACGTTACCCCCTGTACCCAGATAGCACTCCGTCTGCCTCTCTTCTTGACGGAAAGACGCCGGGCACGCTCAAAAGTACATGCGTCAATGCGACGCATGGCGCGTGCCTGCGAGTAAATGGCCGGCAGCATAGCATTTCCTAATATACACTAGAGGGAACTCTGGCGCTAGAGTCTATGGGAGCTGCAATGCACGGCGCTTCAGCGAGCATGGGAATAATGGGTAGTACACATATTTGTCTAATCTTCGTACTTCTGGCCTGCTTTTGGCTCCGTGCATGTTCGTGTGGCTTAGAGCTATTTTCTCACGAAACAAAAATGAGCAAATGTGCAGCGGTTGCGCTTCACCACCTTAATTTTTTAGACTTACCTTTTCGAATCGGGTCACGATGTTCAAAAGGGTTCGTTTTTTTCTTTCAAACGAAACGGAAACAGAGCAATAGAAACGAGCTGAAGGGGATAGGTAAATACACACTAATGTGAAGGCTAGAGTTTTTCGCTTCACCATCAGACAAACATACTGGTTTTCGTCATGTAGTGGCAGAGGATGAATAATCTAAGTAATCTCGCGACGAATGTACAAAAGAAACACGCTGCTTTCGTTGCAGGTTTAGAACGAAATTAACACGTATCCTGATACGCTGATTAGGTTTCTTAAGTTTGGTTCACAAATCTCGATAATTAAGAAATGGTTCAAGAACACGTATTGACGAGAATCGCGAATCCGTAATCTAAGCCTTCGTACGTTCTACTGGATAACTGATGCTTTTCTGACCTCTTTGCAGAACGATTGTTAATCTGCTGTCATGGTTCTACGCGGAGGCGGCTAGGACTGTGTTCAACACTTCCAGCACCTGTAGGCCACTTCGAGCCGTTGGAGTTCCCAGACTTCTCAGTAGGTCTGAAATCACAGCGACCAGGGATCGTAGCATCGGGATAATCTGTCGATCTACCCTTCACACAACTTGAACACGGAAGCAGGCTTGGAGAAACATGTAGGGCGGGCAGGCCTGAAAGGGGGCTCCTTCGCAGGCTACGTACGAAGGAGTGTAGGCCAGTCATCCGCAGCTATGGGCTTGTCCACCTCATTTCGCTTCGTGCTTACTGTTTTACTGGTGTTCGAATAATATGGGTTACGCACGACACCCTTCTACGAGGCCTGCGTCGGCGCCGTACCTTTTTCAGCAGCCTCGCTGTATGATGAATTCACTCTGACCATTTGTTTGATAATGGCAATTTCTTTTTTTATCCGCGGGTATTTCTTGGAGGCAGCATCGTGTGAACCATCACAGTTTCCACACATCAGACTTGTTGACTAATATGCGTCTGCATTGCGTGGTTGAGCGCTTCGTGGGCATACTGTAGTGCTCGGGCATGCAACCTTGACATGTCCGATTTTCGTGCATTTATGTCACTGCAGAGGTTTAGCAACAAATGGCCGAACAGGATGTTGGAAATGTTCCACCTTCTATTGTGACGGAATATAATCTCCTTTGAACATTGTCCTTACACGGCGGGTGTTTCTAAGGCGAAGTACATTCGGGATGACAACTTCCTCGTTCGCTGGTTTCATAGGAATTGGAAGATCCGAGTTCGCGATGGCCAAATAAATGTCAATGATCACTCCCGCCATGCCTGTACCAGCGATTGGAATTATCGGTCGGACTTTGATGTCTGCGAACTCCGATAATCTGCTTAGCTTGCCTAAGGTACTTATCGTGTCTACAGCAAGAATATTCTTGCGTGGGTTCAAACAGATATCTTTAATTTCGTTTAGCACAACATCCTCAAAATACATAGAGAGAGCTTGCCTGTTCACTGCTCGAAGGCTGATAGAGTGGTACTCAAGCACGAACAAGATGGTGTGCGGCCAGTGTTGTTCTTTTGACTTTCCAGTTAACGTCCCCACTGATGAAGATGGCTTGACGTTTCTTCGTTTGGCGTTCCTGCTTCTCACGTTCTCGAAGCTGTGATCCGACGAGTCATCACCAGAGGCCAAGTGCAGTTCCATGTCCTTGCTGGTGCTCGAACAGGTGCCTCGTTTACGCGACAAGCTTGCGTAAGCTGATCTCTGGTCGGTCAGTGCCGCAGAAGGATCTGCGTTCATAGCCATTGGGCAGTGACCATCAGTAGTTCTGGGCAAAGCGCGCTGATTAAACGAGCAGCTCGCCATGGCAGACCTCTTAATGGGCGGGCCAGTGGAAGACTCCGCGTTCGTCGCCTTAGGATGGGGAGAAGTGTCTCCCGGAAAAAGCGAAAACTTCGAAAAAAACTTTTAGTTGGGTAGTAGTGGCAGTAGTAGCAGTAGTAGTAGTAGTAGTAGTATTAGTAGTCGTAGTAGTAGTAGTAGTAGTAGTAGTAGTAGTGGTAGTAGTATATAGTAGTAGTAGCAGTGCTATAGTATGCGTTGTTTCACGTAAAAACCACGATATGAATATGAGGAACGCCGTAGTGGAGGTATCCGCAAATTTTGACCAGCTGGTGTTTTTTAACGTGCACTGACACTGCAGTACACGGGCATCTATTTTTTTTTATCCATCTAGATGTGAGCGCCACGACCACAATCGAATCCGTGGCATTCGGATGAGCAGCGAAGTGCCCTATAGCGACTGGTTCACTAAGGCGGATGCGAAAGGAAGGCCAATTGGGGAATAGCATCTCGAGGCTATTTAAAACAAAAATCAAAATATTAACAAGTCGAGATTCCATTTGCAAAATTTATTACTTTTTTCAGTGTACATTAAGTGTTTTTTCGTGTCATGTAATTTGGGAATCTTAACGGGAATGATCCGGATTGCCCAGTGCACTATTATGCTTGTCAGCTCGAAGTGCTCAAACCAAGGTATTCAACGATAGGGTAGAAATCGGCCCTACGCGATCGCACCTAGCATGCCTCTATTCTGGGGTAGAAGTGGTCTAGTTATTTGCTCCTGTGCTGCCCTGCTCAGCCACAACAAAAGAGACCCATGAGAGTGTTAATTGAATGGTGGACACTTGACGCACAATGCTAGAATATAAAACGAAAGACCACATACTGCGAATCGCACGGAAAATGCGTGTCTATGTTCAAACGTTCTTAGCTTTCTGCTATCTTAAATATCTTTTTTTTTGCTTCCTGCAGTTGAAACAAGTCAAAAGCGTTGTTGCTTTGGAATATTTCAATTTTTGTAGAAATTTATTGGGCCTGTAACCATGACCTTGAGGGCCTAAAATAGAGCTTTAGCTGCCTAAAACACAACATTCGGTCTTTAGTTATCACTGCTGCCGTTGAGCTAATGCGTCATTGCCGTTAGACAGAATGTAGAGTATGTCTTTTTCAAAAAGAAATATGATTGTGTCATTGGCATGTATAATAAACATGGCAATACGATTGATAATAATTATGTCATTCATTCAAAGAGTAAGTACCAAATACCCCAGATTTTTTTGTTGTGCAACCCTGCAACGAAGTGGCATAACTTGCACTCGCGAGTAGTTTATTTTCAGAAAAATTGTCGCCAATGGAACTGGTATCTCCGCAGCAAATTTACTTTAGAAGCACTTGTACAACAGATGCGCAACTTAACAAGACATCCCAACTTACCTGCTCAAAGGGCTTGAAAAAGTTCAACTGAACCTTTTTCAAGCCTTTTGAGCTGGTAAATTGGGATTTCTTGTTAAGTTCAACTGAACCTACAGGGTAGCCAGCTGGTCTGAGAACTGGCTAACCTCCCGGTCCTTCCTCTTTCAATCCTCCTCCTCCTCTTCCAACTGAACCAGTTGCTATCTTCTTGCTTTGAAATTCCGATAAACTATATTCTTTCTGTTGAAGCAAAACTAATTCTTTACATCTGTTCTTCCAAAACTCAAACTGATGACGTAATATTATAATGAAGCTTTCAATAAAAGTATTGAAACTGCAAATAATTTTTTTCAAGAGAATTGGAAGCAACAAAAATATAGATACATTGTGTTAATTACTAATTTAGTTCGGATTAACTTTTTGAAAAACACTGCTATCTTGGCTGTGCACATTTATATAGCAAATGCAAATGTCGTTATACAGCAACTAAGCATGTTTGTAGGAATTGATGGAACCTTGCATGAACTAACTTTGACAGGTATTTTTTCAATATCTCTACTGCTGCTGATTTCGCTTTTGTTCAAATCCATTCCTGCACTGGGACTGGCTTCAGAAATAAAGTTCAATCATTCTTCGGGTTCTTATAGTGACATAAATTTGAGGAAGTACCTAAAGTATAAAATTTGTAAAAAAAATCTTGAAAAAATGATCTTATGCACTTCTCTTAGGACATTAGCAATTAATTAATATTTTATTGTGAATACCTACATGTCAGCATGCAAAACATTGAGTAGGAATCTATGCAAAATTTATCACGTTAGGAAGCGTAATTATTCTTCATTCAGTATGTATTTGAAGCCGAGTACCACGAGCGACTGTGACAAATGACTAGGACAGCTGGTTATAGACTGAAAAACACGCTTATTATAGAGTCAGCAATCGGTGTCTAGGAATGCGCTTGACGTCGTATTGACATCAAAAGTGCAGGGCCATGCATTTGCGACGTTTAAAAAGGTCGTGGCACCACTTCTTTGTCAAGCTGCTCAGTTGGTTAAGCTCACGCTCAAGCTGAAGAAAGTAAGCGTAATTATTACGTTGTGCACGGATACACCAGAAGGTACTGTCATTAGTAGATACCGGAATGTAGTTAAATACCTATTTTTTGCGTTCCTATTGTGCCAATCTGATATATGAGCATGTATTAGAGGTTAAGAGGTGATGTTTAAGTGTTTTTTACTGCCTATGAATGCCTATTCTCAAAATCAATGCCTATATGAGCACTGTTTAACCAAAAATTTTATTTTCGTGTACAGTTGCCGACGGGTATTTATGTTACAAGGCAAAATTCAGCTTTCAAAACTCTGCAAGGTACAACTTTTGCTGCATCTCAAAACATTTTTTCAGCACTATAAAGTCCTTGATGCCCCTCATAAAATAGGAAAGCCGATTAGTTTCTACGTATGTATTCATCCACGTCTCATCATGAGCTCGCTTTTCTCCGACGTCTGTTTACACACGTCGGGAACAGGCGTTTCTGTGCAGCCCTAGGACGATCGGGAATAAGTGGGAAGAGTAGAAGGTAGGTGAAAATATCACATCTCCGTGTAGTTTTTGTTCAGTTTGCCATGTACTTTTTAAAGAGCACTTCAACGGCTGAAATGAGAAATTAAAAAGTTTAAGTTACACACTGAAATTTGTTGCGTGAGCAACGAAAAGCGTTGCACCTTGAGGATAATTCAATTGGTTCATTACGAGCCACGAAAGCACACGAGCCACGAAAGCCCGCTGTAGATTCCGAAAGCCACATTTTTACCCTTCCTTCATCTGTACCGGAGTAACTCAAAGCCGGCAGATCACAGGACGCCGATGCATCAACAATTCATGCGCACGCATTGTTACACTGGCATAACATTCCCAAGAAATACCGTGCACGCAAGCGGTTTTGTTTCGTTTCGACGTTCTCTGTATTGTTCTGGGTGGTTTTGTAAAAAGGATTTCTCTATGTGCACATGTTTGTAGAGGCAGGCATACATTATGCACCCTTACCACGACACGCAGCGTCACAGTACTGGAACTGCTCTAAGAGACAATGGACCAAAAACACACCAAGCATTCTCAGTGCCAGCGTCGGCCCGACGCGAGAACTGGTACAACATAAATGAAAAGAATTCAGGTATATTTGTCTCGTATCATGCTGGTTAAAACGTTACGAAAAAATGACGCGCACAGATTACGTTTGTATGTTTTCTTAATTCTACCAACATTCATACTTCTATTCAATAGGCAGATTGGACTAATTACACTCGTCCCCTTTATAAATGTTCGCTTTGGGACGCACTACTTTGGCGTATGCAGGACCATTCATCGTTGTCTACGTCACTTCCACCATGTTTGGCCCAGCGTCCATGGGATGAAGGACAAGCGGTATTCATACTGACATTTAACCGCTTACAGGAGCACCAAGGGATGCAAATCTTGGCAGACGAGATGGTGAGTGCCCAGTGCATGAATTTTTCTGCCTACTTTAAATACTCAAACCTAGTGAGGGACCCTTTATTCGTATTCACAGAAAGAGAATAAATTGACATGGTGTGGTTAGACCCGGTTAAATCAAGGCTAAAAGACCTTTTCTTGCTGGCCTATTTGCGGCCTCGCTACTTTCGCCTGTTCTGCCATTCCAAGCCATGCCGAAAATCGACACAAGAGCGTGTTCATTCGATGGTGGACATTTAGCTCACCATGCTGGACAGTAAAAGAAGAGACTGTGTCCTGCAAACGATGCAGGGGAAAGAAATTTCTATGCTAGATCATCGGAGCGTTAGTACTGTCATAAACTAAAACATTTCTTTTTACTTTCTTACCATAGACATATGTCGCGCACGTCTCTCTTCAAAAACGTAAATTTTCTCTAAAATGTTGTTGTACCTATATTTACCATTTTTCGAGACTAAACTATGTCTTTCTGGCCTATTTAGGTACCTAAAATGTGATTTTTAGTTCATATAAGTTTGGCCTGTTATTAGTAGCACCCGGGACACGGCAATACTTTGTTTCGGGGAACAACTACCCTTCACAATCACTTTGACTATACTGACCTTCCTGTAGCTTCGGTGACAGAATGCGCGGGGATGATATGTACCCACGCTTTATAACAATATAGTAACATAAAATAGCGCTGCAACATAGAACATTGGTCGAAGCAGTTTTGTCTAAGACATATCCTACTACGCATATCCAGCAATGGAGCTCCTTTTAGGCTACATCCGAATAGCGATAGCAAGTTTTTTTTTTTTGCAGTGCCAAGTACACTCTTACAAACTCTTACTGTCGCAAAAGCAGAGGGCTTCAATGTATGTTCCCAAATTCGTATTTTTAGAGGCCTGCGTGAATACAATCAGTTCAAATGCAGTTGCAGTTGAATACCAAGAATGGTAGATGGAAAGGAAGAAGAGAGCCAAAAATAATTCAGAGAGGTTAAGAAGACGCACGTTTTTTTGCTACTCTTTACAGGAATAATGAACAAAATGGCGTAGAAAGTGACGGAAGAGGGGTGGAGATAATTGCAAGCACGCTTGTAGGAGCACATTCCGTCTACAAGTAGCGCCACAGACATCTTGGTCTTAGGTTTTTCAGCAGCACGTAATGGCTTTCTGCACCCCTGAAGCGCATGTCCGCGGACCTAGAAGCTTGTCTAAAGAAAGTGGTCTGGAGTCGAGTTGGTGGAAAACTACCTGTGCGAGCATATCTAGTTGTCACAGCAAGCGCTGCTGCACGGAATATTTTTTAACGTCTTTATAGTTCCAGATAAGTCGAATATGGAAATGTTGCATCCTAACAATGTGAAACAAATCGCCCTATTTAATGGGATACCCAACGACAAGCTACATAATAACAGCGTCGTATTGTAGCGGTACATTTGAGATGGGACTGGTAGATAGACCCAACGATTAACTTTATATTGCTGACATGTTCCTAAGCTAATACAGGACCAAACTGTGCATGTAAGGTTCCCGGCCAGCAAACAAAGTGGTGTTTGCTCTTCAGCCGTTGATAGAGGGATTGGAGCTGCACTGCATGGTTCCTTAATGCCCGCGTCGCCAAGCTCCATAGGGGGCAGATTGATTCCAATGAATTCCGGTTTGTCCTAGTAACCACTGATACATAATTTCAAGTCGTTTTCTTTAAGCTTGGTGGTGACAGTTTCTTTTGTTCATGTGCCAATTGTTCATGAGCGCTCTTATTCTTGGTAACCTGTAAACTTTGAAGTGGTGCCTTTGAAGAGCACAATCTCTCATTCTCGCATGGATGCGTTTTAAAGATCCATATAATAACAAATATTCAGCGAAACAGTATTATTGAACGATGTACTGTAGAGCGATCACCTATAGCAGCAACATCTTCTGTCATAGATGTGCTCATGTGTGGCAATTTCAGTTTCATTGTCATTGCTGCAGCCATATGTGCAGCCCGAATATCAAGGTGCACCTAGGCCTCGTCGAGGCATCACAGGGGGCATGCAAGTCTGGCACTTGGTGTACGTATATCCCGATATAATTCATTTAAGTGTTTGACTATGATGTCTTGAACTTAACACATTGTCTTTCGAAAGACAGCAGGACCAAGTGGTGGTCAGATATGTCGGAGGCAAGTCATATTGTGACGCTTGCTCCTGTCGATGATGCACCGTAAAAATATGTTCACTCTGAGGCAATCCACAACACTATAACTCGAGAATGGATGGCCCTTAGCAAGCACCCTTGTGGCGCAGGTAGAAGCACATTGGCGCAGTCCAAGACGAATGTGCAGTGTCTGATTCTTCAAACTCTTCAATGAATGCATAGCGATTTACAAGCATTCCACAGCACTGTCAAGCTGCAGCGCAGCAGTCCCTAAAACAGAGCGCAGTAAAGCGTAGCATGAATCCTAGCAGTGTTCCGCATGATTTCCCGTGCATGAATTTTAATGGAGGCCCAGAAAACGATGCGTGCATGCATAATCTACGATCTGTCAATTGATGGGGACAAGCTCATTGGCTAGCGCGTGAGCACGATCAACGCACCTTTATTGGATGATATTTTTTATTTATTCATTGTACCTTCAGAGCCCGATGGCATTGCAGAAGGGAGTGGGGAGTAGAAAAAAACACAAAATCATAGTCGTGGTATATGCAAGCTTCGCTATTCAAAGTAGGCTCTTATCATCGTTGCTGCCTACTGTATTCGCGCTAGCGTCTAGTGCCTAATAACTGCCCGACTCCAGCGGAAAAGCTGTCTGCATACAGGAATCAGCAGACCTTTGGTGGACCGTCAAAAAGACCAAAAACAGGCAACATTGAACAAAGTCAGTAGTCATACTCTCATCTCTCGGCACAAAGGCCCAGCTGGTTCTCTCATACATTCAAAGAAAGGTAGACTAAACCTCAAATAACCGTCAGCGAACTGCTACCTGCGTAATTTCACAGTTTCTACATTATGATTTAACTCGACTGCCGGTCGAGCAGCACATTAGGCAAGCACATCTACTCCCAAACAGTATTGTCCGGTGCAAACTAAGCATAACTACAAAAATATACCCACTTAAGGCAATAATTTTGTCCTCTCATGAGCGACCTTGGAAGGGAGTGAGATCAATCATGAAGTCGTCATGTTCTGTATCGCAGCGCATACTTCCATATTTCTGCAGAAAATTAGGATGTGTTGAAAGCTTGACATATCATCGGTTCTCGCACTAGGCGATGACAAAATGACATGGTGTAATTACAAAACAGGTACCTTTTGGTCTATTAGGCGCCATTTTTCTACACCTGACACACGATAATGGAAAAAGGTAATTAGTTTTCGGGATGTTTGCCACAGAAAAAGCCCTGAATGCAATGCATTCACATTCTACGCACTTCGCTAGCTAAAACTTGAAAACACCTCAAATATTACTTAGCTTTGCCTGACAAGTACCTTCGTCACAAATAAGAGATAAACAATCTGTTGGAGGAAAATTCTACTCCACAAACAGCCTATACTACATCTCTCGAGTCACTTATAAACCAGCGTTCAAAGGCAATACTGAGGGGCACGTTAGAGATTGCATTCTCACCTTTTAAAAAAGTCCGTATACTTATTATATCTACAGTTCGTTCAACTAAAACCCGACTTCATTTTTTTCCTAACAAGTAGGAAAGAGCTGAATATAATTTCATGGGGGATTGGAAGTACGAAGCATTCGCGTGTATTTATTAGTATTGGTTTTTAGAGGCACATAACACACTGACTCAACCCATGTTTTGACGCCTTTGAGAGACAATTAACTGCTATAATAGTGAATAATTGCACCTCTTGTTAATCAGCATATGATATACATATTATAATTACTTAGATTTACATGCCTCATACATAGTCATTTTCGTATTAGTCTTAAGACACAAAAGAAAAAGTGTACACCTGATTGGAATTGCTGGTGCTTCATATGCGCTTACATGACGAGCCAGAAAACCTACATAGATAGTAAAGTTTTTTTTAATTACGCGTGCAGTGAAGTGTGAAATTTTCGCTGGCTAAAGTGTAAAATCGATTGCAAGTTGGGCGTGTATTTCGCACAAATTGAAAATTCAGGCTGAGACGAGACCCTCGAGACAACCTCTTTGTTGAGGATTCAAGAGATTCAGTAGACAGTACTCTAAAGCAAGATACCTTGTATTCCTGCTAGTTTGACTTTCAGCATTGCTCTTACTGCAATTAAAACATGCACATATTATTAAATTATATCGACGTGATGAAAAAATTCGGCAGGCGTCACGTACTCTGGAAATCAATGTAATGTGAACAGTCAGGGAAAGGCTGAATGCACAGCACTGTTTGTTTGTGGGGTAAAGCAAAGATTTAGTGCAATGGCATGTCATTCGATATTGCTTGGCTTTCATGTCTGCATGCGTGTGCAGCGAGTTTGAAGCATGTCATTGAAAGTTATATTCTGGTACATTCTATGCGATACAGGACCAATATATGCGCCACTCACTCAGTTACAGTGACGTCTACCTGTATGCCATATAATGAATGAACTAAACGGCCCTGAGCGTCCCAGTGGTCTGTCATATAAATCGTACCATATATGATAAACATGCCTTGATTGTCATCTCACGAGCTGTCAACAAAGTTTGTCGTGACTTGTAAATACCAACTTGAGTAACTATCAAGGCTGCACCACGAGCATCGCATGTAAAGATTAGCTTTGGCTTAACTCAGTTACTGCGGGATGTACATAGCGAAAGGTATAAGCGACTTTATGGGACTGTGAAGAGGTTTATTAGCCGTTAAAGGCAGCGACGAGACAGCGTGAAGAACCGTCCAGCGATCGGCACAGCAACGAACCAAAGCACGAGCCGAGAGAGCCGGGCGTTGGCGATGCTGCTTGCTGCTTGCACATCTTCTTCTTCACAATCGCCCCCGCTGAAAAAAGAGCCATCCTGGCGACCTAAGAAGTTTCAGGGAGAGGCTCAT